TGGTGATTCAGATGGTAAAGCGTCTGCTTGCAATGCGGAAGACCCGGGTTCGATCCCTGGGTCAGGAAGATCCCCTGGAGAAGGAAATGGCAACCCATTCTAGTACTCTTGCCTGGAAAATTTCATGGATGGAGGAGTGTGGTAGGCTACAGTCCATGGAGTTGCAAAGAGTCGGACTTACTGAGTCTTAAATCATGGGGTTACTGAGTCTTAAATCATGGGGTTACTGAGTCTTAAATCCTACTGGCTATAAGGAATATAGTGTGGCTTGTTTTCAGTCTTGATGTTGTTTAGTCGCTAAATTGTATCCGACTCTTTGCGACTCCATGGGCTGCAGCATGCCAGGCTTCCCTGTCCTTCACTATCTCTCAGAGTTTGCTCAAACTCATGTTATTGAGTCAGTAATGGCATCCAACCTTTTCATCCTTTGTCACCCCCTTCTTCTGCCTTCAAGCTTTCCCAGCATCAGGGTCTTTCCCAATGAGTTGGCTCATCACATCAGGGGGACAAAATATTGGAGCTTCATCTTCAGCATCCATCCTTTCAACGAATATTCAGAGTTGATTTCCTTTAGGAATGACTGATTTGATCTCTTTGCTGACTAAGGGACTCTCAAAAGTCTTCTCCAGCACCACAAGTCGAAAGCATCAATTCTGTGGCCCCCGGCCTTCTTTACGGTCCAACTCTCACATCCATACAGGACTACTGGAGAAACCACAGCTGTGACTAGACGGACCTTTTCAGTCTCCTCTATGCTAAACAGTGAACAAACTGCAAGAGGATTTCTCTCCTGCCTCCTTCCTATGCTACCCCTCACCAGGCTAGATCTGGGAAGGGCTGCTTCCACCTGGGGAAGGGCATTGTGAACCAACACTAGGGAGCGCCTACTAAACTCAGCATACCTACCTGAGCCTCAAGCTCAGGTGTGAAAGAGGAATTCTACCATACCCAATGGGAGCATTCAGAGGTAAGTCTACAAGACAAAAACGGGCTATGAAAAGAAAAAAAAAAAAAAAAAAACAAGCTAGTGCAGGAAATTAAAGGAAAATAAAACCACTATTAAAATTCATGTTAAAGGCAGTAAATAGCAGACTTGACAGAGCAAGAGTAAGATATTCCAACTTGAGGTATATGTTTAGAATATCAAAAAATGTGTAAGTTGTTGAAATATTATAATGCTTCCATGTTGGATGGTAATAGGCCCCTCCACCCTCAGAAGTCAGGGCACTTGAGTGACTTCCCTAAGATGCTGCAACTAAATTCACCACAGAGCCTCCAAACTGCTACCGTACTAAGGCTGGTGTTTGTTTTAACTGTCCTGTGCAATGTTGGCTGTCAAACCAACTGCTAAATATTTTGAATATCATCCTTTGGATCTAACCCAAGAATAATAAGTATTACCAGTCAAAAAGCAGAGCCATCACTGTGCCAAACAAGGTCCATATAGTCAAAGCTATGCCTTCTCAGGCAGTCATGTACGGATATGAGAACTGGACCATCAAGAAGGCTAAGCTTTCAAACTGTGATGCTGGAAAGACTTTTGAGAGTCCTTGAACTGCAAGGAGATCAAACCAGTCAATCCTAAAGGAAATCATCCCAGAATATTCGTTGGAAGGACTGATGCTAAAACTTAAGCTCCAATACTTTGCCACCTGACGACTCAACTGGAAAACACCCTGATGCAGGGAAAGACTGAAGGCAAAAGGAAAAGGGGGTGGCAAAGGATGAGATGGTTTGAGAGCATCACTGACTCAATGGACATGAGTTTGAGCAAACTCTGGGAGATAGTGAAGGACAGGGGAGACTGGCATGCTGCAGTTTGTGAGGCTGCAAAGAATCTGACATGACTTAGCGACTGAACAACAACAATACCAAATAATAAAAATGATAAGGGAAGGAAGTTTTCTGGATTAAAAAAAAAAAAGAAGAAAGCTCATGACATCTCAGGCAAAATAATGAAAGAAGATTGAATTTAGGAGTCAGATTCATTGTTCAAAACCAAAAGATTAATTTGGCTGGGGTATTCTGTTGTTCATTTTTGTTTGATTTTTCTTATAGGAAAGTCAGAGACCACGTGTAGCAGATGTGTAGTACGACCCAGGCGTAGCAGACACTGCAGTAAGCCACCCAAATCACCCTTCAGAACCGAGACGTTTCCTTTTCTTACCTTCTGACTGCAGATGCCTCACAGCTACCTCCCTCTCCAGGAACTGCCCTGAGCCAAAGGGAGGTCCCTTGCTCAACGGGAGATTCCTGCCCCTCTCAGCCAATATCCAAGGAGTGGTCAACGCAAAGATACACAGGGCAGATTCTCCTGCCTAAATCTGGGACAACTCTGTGAAGATTCATCCAGAATTCCTTATGGGATCAACTGAGGCTTCTGCTGTAACTGCATCACAACTCAGCTTCTCACTGTGCCCAACGTTGCTCTCTCACTCCCCGTGGCATTGCTCATGGGTTCCCGCCAGCAAACTCCTGCACACAACACCCACTGTCTGCCAACAGAGAGCCCCATCTGAGACACTAGGTCATGGCTCTATACCTGAGAGGCAGAAGGACAGAAACAACTAAACACAGCCACACACTGGCTAGGATCTGAGATATCCCCAACATCACCAAGATAAAGGAGCTCTCAAATACCATTAAGAGCTCACTTTGTACTGAAGTTTTATGGGGTCCAGGGAAAGACAACAGACAAACTCTTATATGGTAAAGCCAGCAGGTAAAATTCAAATCTTTTCCATACAGAATGAATCTGGAAAAAATTTCAAAAAAATTATAATCCAAAGCTAAGAAAGCAGTTAAATAAAAGCTAACAATGATAACATGATTTTACTACAGAAAAAACTAATTTTATGAAAGTTTTACATAAAATGTTTCAAAAATCTGGAAATAAAGGGAAGTTATCAAACTCATTTTAGGAAGCTAAAACTGGATGAGATATTAATAGGCAAATCTTATTTAGGAACATATGTGCAAAAATTCTCAAGGTAGCTTGTCTTTATGAGGCTCCCTTTCACTAATGAAAAATAAGACAGCATAATATGCATACTAAACTACAGGTTTTGTAGGTGAGAAAAACACTAAAGGGTTATATATGAATCCTAGCAATGTTTGGAAAGAATAATAAAACAGAAAAACTCAGATAATTCAAATCAAGAAAAACAGGATAAAAATATACAAAGTTCGAATAGACAAAACTACCAAGAAAAAGAAAGAACACCATGCATATCACATTAACAAACCTAAAATTTTCCATTAAATAGACTATTTCAAGGGGGGGAAAAAGGGATCAAAATCAGCACAGCAAATCAAGTGAAAAGTGAATTACATCACCAAGTTAGGAAGAAACTGAAAAGGCTGAAAATCACTACTCCCTGAAAAAGTTCAGAGCCCAGATTTTATTATGACTCCATCTAAACTTCAGTGATCAGATAACTGCACACAACAGACACTGACTTCACAACGCCACCCCTCCTGCCACCACCACTGCTGCCATGGCTAAGCCTGCAGCCGCTAAGGCATTCGTTGCTCGTAATAATCCAGTGATGTGGGCACTACTGAGACGCTGAGACACAGAGGCATTAAATGCTCTCCCCAGAGCCAGCCGCACAGCCGGTACTGGTGGAGCTGAGATGAGAATGAAGGCCGTGCTCCTAACCACCACTCACAAAGAAAGGCTGACGCTTTGGATTAAGAAGCCAAGTGGCGCTAATGGTACAGAATTCACCTGCCAATGTAGGAGACATGAATTCAATCCCTAGGTCAAGAAGATCCCCTGGAGTAGGAAATGGCAACTCAGTCCAGGCTTCTTGCCCAGAAAATGCCATGGACAGAGGAGCTTGGCAGGCTACAATCCACGGGGTCACAAAGAGTCAGACAGAAGTGAGCACGGCAGCACAGTACCTTGATGACAAAACCTTCGTAAATTAAGTGTTTTTCTTGTCCTTTCTAAGTGACTGGAAACATTTTAAATAATCAAATACTTGCACAGCACTTATTATGTACCAGGTGCTGTTCTAAGCAAGCTACAAATGTTACTGTACTCAATCCCCATAACAACTGTGGGAGGGAGGACCTCCATCAACCTTTTGGGCAGATAAGGAAACAGGCACTGAAAAGTTTTCAGTGAAATGTCTACGATTACACAGGGAACAGGTGGGCGATCACAAATGAAACCCTGGCCATCTGCAGGGGTTTGTATATGGTGCAAGATTAAACACTATAAAATATGCTGAGGACAGCATACAGCTTTTAAATTAACCATAAATTATTGCTTTATGAAAATCAGATATGGAAATCAAAGCATCACTTACAGAATAGGTCATTACAGGCAAACAGTCCTTAGGTGCCATTCTATAATCTTACAAATAATCTAAACCCAAAAAAGCACATGACAAGCAAAGTCCCCAGAGGCAATCATTAAAATCATAATCCAGTCAACATTTTCTTACAAAAATAAATAGTAATTATAAAGCCATGTGTAAATTATAAATACAAGTTATACTATGAACAACAGTCATTACAACTTCATTGCTCAAACTACTGTAATATCTATTCAGCAAAGATATAAGACAAGTTACTTTCTCCAGTAAAACTTAAAACATTGCTCAAGTGATTTTCATTTTGTGGTATTAGGTTAAGACCATATTACTTCTATTTGTATGTCAACATGTTCTGAGGTGAGTCTGAAACATATGAAGCAAAAGACATCAACAATGTTAAAAAATACACTACATGGAGCAAATAGGAGGCCTTATTCAGTAACTCTATACACAATATTCTACACATATGTCAAAGAGACTATAAATACAGGTCACAGATGGATCCATATCATTATGAATTGTATAACAAAAGTATCCTGAACAATAAACTTTTATTGCTTGCAGTAACAGAACCAACCAAATGACGTTTGTCTTTAATATAAAAGGGGCTGCCACATCCCAGTTTTCATTGCTGAGTATTAATACCTATCAATAACATGAGAATATTATGGGTACCTCGGGTTTCATGTGGTGTCCTCAGTTCACTCTCTGTTCTCTCTTCAAAGTCTTCTTTGACATCCTCAGCACGCTGGTCTCTGAGAAAGATAGAAATGTTTAAAGAAATGGTTAAACACTGCACTTCAGAAACTGTTTTTTAAAATTTAAAAATCAAAATCAATGGTATCATTAAAATGTTAGAAAGGATTGTTAGTTTTATTAAGAAGCAATTAATACTAATAACACCTATAAATGTTCATTTCCTTCATTATCAATTTTCATTCACTGTTCAGAAAGCTAAGAATGTTTTATTAAGGTTAACTATTTTGAGAAAATGTGGCTACTGAATAGTTCAACTTCAAATTGGGACTCATATTCATGAGGAATATTACTTGCACTGTTTGGTAAGACTACAGTTTTAAGGAAGAAGAGGGTTTTAAAGTCCACATCATTTAATCAAGTCATCATATACCACTCAGCTCTGGGATTTGAGATTGAGATTGCTCAGGAGAATCAAACTCAATTCTAGGAAGCTTTTCCTGGCTTAATTAGGTTAAATCCATAGGCTAAACTGACTCCATCTCTTTCTGACCAGGAATGACCTAACACTAATCAAACCATGCCAAGAATGCTCTAAAATGGAATGGACCCATTATAATCCTAATTCAGAGCTTTACTCTGAAGTCAGGGACAAAAATGGCTTTAAGGGGAACCAGGCCCAGACTATGTATATTTTCTTTAAAACTAAATTTCAGGGATTTAAAAATTTTAACTTAATCTATACATACTCAGGGTTCAAAATGAATACTTCATAATATTTTATAATCCTCTGTACTTGTGTTCTGTTGTTTCATATGCTGCTACCTTTAGAAATATATCCTTAGTTTCCTGAAGACTCAGGACACACTTTTGTTCAGTGTTAAGAAAAGGGAAAATTATCTTTGAAGCCAAATATCCCAACAAAATATAAAAGAGTTTTATAATCTTAATTACTGAGGCACCTATTTATTCCCTATTTGTAACAACAGTAATTTAACATAACGATGCCAACACAGTAAGCATGTGATGAAAAAAACATTCACTACTTCTTTTCTTAGAAAGATCACTTCCAGAGATATGTGAAATTTCATTGGAATCTGAGTTCCCTGCCTTAGTTTATACTAAAAACAATCTTTACAACTGCTGAAGGATACTTGCTTATTTGAGAACGGAAAGAATTACTTTTATTATGCAATAAAATTTTTTTTCTAAGAAAAATCAATTAATGACTATGGAGGCTCTTACTCCATGAAAAGTGGGGAGATACAGTGAAAACAAGTAGGAAAATTAATGATAACTGGAAAAAGGACATTAAGTGGTAATAGAAAACTGTCTTCTATGTAAAAATAGTGAAGTTAGAATTGATAATTACACGTTAAAATCACATTATGCTAAAAATAGCTTATGTGATCTTCTGCACTTGTTTCATATTAAACTGGAAATAACAGTTTTTGAGTCCACAAATTTATCCCAGTAAGTATTGCGGCCACTGAAAAAAGTGGTCTGTGGATAGTTAATCTTAATGCTTGTTATAAACAATCACACATTAGAGTGATGTGTCTTAAAACTGGCATTTTTCTGAGTCAAAGGAAATAAATTCCCAATTAATTAGAAAAATTATGTAAAAGCTTTAATGAATGGTTTAGAAAACCCCAAATAAAACATCCCCAAAAGAAAACAAAAACCAAAGCCCAAACTGAGTCCAAAGGCTAAAATTAAGTCCTAGACTTTTCTGTATATTTTCAGTTTTCATGATTGAAATTGTCCACTGATAATTAATGCTTATTTTTGTGATTTCAGTAAAGTATATTATATATTCCTTTAAAGTAAGCTTTGTTAAAATGAACCTGTAAGACCGAAGTATGAGGAAAGTTCTTTTGTATTCTTATGTCCAAATACAATACTGATGATTTATGAAATGTAGGAAAAGAATCATTTTCTAGGAGGGAACAGAAATAGAAAAGGAAAATAATATGTTTGACCCCAAAAGTTTCTTTGTGCCTGAATCTGCCATAATCTATCCCCAAAGAGAAGCAAAAAAGAAACCTTCTGCTCTTATTCACATTGCTTAATTATAGAAGCATGTTCAGTTCTCATTTTCCTTACTTTAAACTCATGATATTTCATTAAATTTAACCCATATAAACTTGGGAATATATAAATATGGATATTTATTTGCACCAAAACAGTACAAGAAAGGTTTACTGAATGTTTTACTTCCAATATACTGAGCCTGCTAACTCCTTAAACTTAAAAGTGATTAAGTCCCCTAGGGTTCTGATGTTTCCTTTAGTGAGATGGTTGGTGGTGTGGGGTCAATCTGAATAGTCTATTAGAACAGGTATTATGACACAGATGGATGAACAGAGACCCTGAAGGAAACAGACTCCTGATCAAGCACATACAGAAATGTGGAAATAGTATTAATGAGAAATAATAAGAAGAAAACTTAATATACTTAAGAACATACTATGCACCAAAGATTGGCTGAGTTCTTTACATGTCCGATATTTCATAGCAGTCACTGGAAGAAGGTTCTGTTGTTACATTTGCTGAAACTTGGAGGTTAATCCCAAATTTTCAGAGCTAGTATAGCTCCAGGTTTTAACACATGAAAATCTATACTTAGATTTAATGATTATGTTTTTTACCCTTGTGTTTTTCTAGAATACGGTACACATCCCTATTATATACACTTAAAGGAAACTTGCCTTCTTGTATCATAATCATCTTAAAATTTTCAACTGTCTTTTATTGATAAGGTTAGGAATGAAGATTCTGACTCATTAATATTCTTTCTTGTTTTATATTTTACTTAAAAATCACTTTCTGAATTGGACAACCAACATTTCTCTCACCCATAAATTTAGATATTCCATTGTTAATTCTGATTGATAGGTACTGTTATGAATTTCTTTCTCTATGCAAAAATGAAATGTTTTATCGAGGATATTAACTTTCCAAGCAAAAGGTTATTCTAGCTATACCGTCTTCCAATTATAAACAAAACCTGTTTACATCAGGATGTCAAAACTCTGTGATAATACTGTTACACATTCTGGAACATAATATAAGATAGGCTTATTGAAGATTTTTTTTTAAATGACAACCAAAAATACTTTTATGTTGTACTTTAATATTATGATTTTGCTCTACTTTGAAATTCTTATCTTCTCCTCTGGATCACCATTTTTCATTACCAACAATTTCTATTAGGAAGGGAGTACAAGCTGATTAGGCCCAGGGTGTGCATTATAACATGGAGAAAGCACCCCAGCAGTGGAGACATGTATGGTCTTTGAAGGTGAATAGATCTGGTTCAACTTTCACTCTGCTACTTACTAGTTCTATATGACCTTCAGCAAGTTACTGAACTTCCCTAACCCTCAGTTGCATCTTCTGTAAAACAAGGATAACAAATCCTTTAACTCACAGGCATTTTGGAGGACTCACAAAATAATGTACAAGAAGTGCTTAACACATAGTCAGACACATAAGTAGGAGCATGATAAATGTCTTCCTTGGGATTTGAGAATTTTTAAGAGCCAATTTATTTCAACATTTCTTTAGCCTAAATTGAAACATAATCATATTATATTTAGCTATATAATCATATATATTTAGCTATGATTATATTTCAATTCAGGCCAAAGAAATGTTGAAATAAATTGGTTCTTAAAAATTCTCAAATCCCAAGGGAGATTACTGTATTCCAGGCACTTTCCTAAGTGTTTTTACTTGTGTTAGATCATTTAATCCTCACAATGTCTATGTGAGGCAGATGCTGTTATTACATTCAGCTGTCTCTATTCTAGAGACAAACCCCTCTTGGTTACATGTTTACACATAGTAAGTAGCAGCCTAGGAAGTCTGACTGTAGTCTGGTTCATAACCATTTCTCTAAAGGTTGTTTTAAACCCTGAGAAAAACAGGTTACATAAAGAAAATAGATGTCAGTAAACAATTTTATCCTAAAATGTACGTAATTCTTAAACATTAAGTTACCATTTATCATGCTCCTACTTATATCTTACTCAAGGGCTTCCCTGGTGGCTCAGTAAAGAATCCACCTACAACGCGGGAGATCTGGGTTCAATCCCTGGATCGGGAAGATCCCCTGGAGGGGGGCATGGCCACGCACTTCCGTATGCTTGCCAGGAGAATACCCGTGGACAGAGGGGCCTGGCAGGCTCTTGTCTATGGGGGTTGCAAAGAGCAGGACACGACTGAGCGACTAAGCACAAAATCTTAGGGAAGAATATTCTGCAGGCTTTTAATTAAGACAGTGGAATCCACTCAAATGGAAAAATGTTTTCTTTCTGAGTCAGTATCCTTTTTTTTTTCCTCTGTAATTATGTGTCACGCTTTAGATGTCTTACTATCTTACTCAAGCTAGACTCTGTGGTAAATATTAGTGAAACAAACATTAGAAGAGTAAATACATAGCAACCGGATAGCATTTGAATGCAAACAGCTGGATTTCTTCAAGCTTGTTTATTTTTCATTTAAAAACAATCCCTAGCCAGTTATGTTTCAATTAGTCATCAGTCTGTTATAAATAATACTGAAAAAATATGAAACAATTATTCTGTTTCAATTCAGGGATTTCAGCCAGCTCTCTAACTCCAGCATGAATTTGGCTTGGCTCATACCTCAAAACCACTCCATCCTTCTCCTTCCAGAACAGCTCACTCTAGCCTCATTGGGGCTTTGTTAGATCTGTAAATTACCTGTACTTCCAGGAACAAGTTGGGGATACAGTGAATGTTGCAACAGCTGTAAAAAATGTAGTTTCCTAATTTGAATTTTAAAAGGATGTCTCTTTGCATACCCCCAGCACTTTGAAAAAGAAAGTTTCTGGGCTGAGGTCACTAACAGGTAAAAAAATCAAATGGAAATCTTAGAGTAATATGTTAGAGGAACTTTAAAATTAGAGGACCTGAAATCATCTCCAAAATGCCTCCTACAAATGAAGAGAAAATTGTGCTGATTGTGTCCAAACACAATCAGGGGGTCGCCACATTCAAAGGGATTTGAAAAAGATGGCAAATAAAACCAA